ACCCATCTCTCTGATCTGCTACAACCGTATGTCCCACCACGCTCCCTGAGGTCAGCGGACCAGTTGCTCCTCACAGTTCCAGGATCTCGTCTTAAGCGCAGAGGTGACAGGGCCTTCTCTGTAGCAGGACCAAGACTTTGGAACGAGTTACCTCTGCTTGTCAGACAGGCCCCCTCCCTCTTGATTTTCAAGTCCCGTTTAAAAACTCACTACTATTCAGTAGCTTTCAGCACCAGATGATCTGTGTTTTGATCCTGTATGCTCCACACTGGTTTGTCGTCATTATCTGCATCGTTTTTATGTCTATATTCTGATTTACCTCATTTTATATTTTGCTTTGTGTGTTACCTGTTGTTCTGTCTGTACAGCACTTTGGTTGGCCTTGTAGCTGTTTTAAGTGCTTTATAAATAAAATGGTATGGCATGGTAAAATAGTAGTGTTCATTATTTTCCATGTCAGAATGAATGAAATAATTAGATCTCAGCCAAAAATTGGTTACAAATATGGGAAAAAAAACGTTTATTAGTTGCTTCAGTGTATAAGTCGCAGGGCATGCAAATTTATGCAAAAAGGTGCGACCTATACAGCGAAAAATACGATAAGCAAGATCAAATGAAAATTACTGCAACGGTAGCCCATTTAAAAGGGCAAATATATCCCAAAACAGATTATTTTTAATCAGATTTTTAAATGTCTAGTGGTATAAATATGGTCTCAGAGTTCATTATTATATTAATTTCAAATTAATTGAACTCTCCAAAACAATCTCACAGCAGAAGTTATTTTATTTGGTTATTTAAGTCCAAATTCTCTCCATATGTGTGTTTGTGAACACGCTGGAGGAGAAATGTGCAGCATAAAACATTATTTGTTTTGGGGAAAAATATATATTTTTTTTCAATACAGTACATTTGCAACAGAAAGCTTTTTTACAGCTCTGAGGTAGAACACACACACTCGCAACAAAACAAACATAAACTCTGGATTTAAAACCAACATGATGAACAATTCACAGCCTTTTAGGATAAGTGATGCATCTTAAAACATATAAATCCTAAATAGATGTTTCATTGAGCAACATCTTCATATAAAGTCACTGAAATGCATATATATATTTTAAACACCAAAGAGAAACATGCCACTAATACAGTTATTGCAAAACACAAGTAAAGCAAGAACATGTGCACAGTTTTCTTCTTGGACTCTAAACCAAAGCAGGAACTTTTTGATTTAGAATCCATCAGTTCGTTTCTCTTCATTTGTTTAGTTTGCATCTCTGTTCAACAGATTTTTACCTTTGGCACACAACATATTCCAGACCACGTCCAGAGAGTTTTCAAGTATGCAAATCATTTCTTGACACGAGAGAACAGTATATGCATGCAAGACACAAAAGGAACACCTTGCTGCACAAAGAAACTAACCCCATTGATTAGCAACGAGCTGAAAGCTTGTCAAAGAGCTTAGATCAGAGTTTGAAGATTACAGCTACAGCTGAGCTTGTGAAGACTTTGAAGAAGAAGGCTGTGCAAGCCCCTGAACAAGAAAGAAAAACTGAAGCAATGATGATAATACGTGCAGGGTGGAGGTAAGTTGTAGATGAGTTACCCAGGATGGACTTCACACCAGCTGAAGTGAAGCAGCGTCTCACAGCTTCTCTTGAATCACATTCAAGAGAAGCACAAAGAAACTTAAGCTTTCATTTCTGTCCACAGCAACAGCTGCCAGCTCTACGAAGCCACCGAGGGAACGTTGGTACAAAAACAATTAATCACCCGTTGCTGAAGGCGAAGGTGTGGTGATAATCATTACACCAGTTTTGGCCTCCCTTCACTGGCTCCCAGTTCACTTTTGAATTCATTTTAAAATCTGTCTGTAAGTTTTTAAATGTTGTACTGTTCCGCACCCTCCTCGCTGATCTGCTGCAGCCATATCTACCACATGCAGACCCAGCTGACCTCATGTCTGAGGTCAGCAGACCAGATGCTTTTATTGGTTCCAGGCATTCGTTTTAAACTCAGAGGTGACAGAACCTTCTCTGTTGCAGGTCCAAGACTGTGGAATGAGTTACCGTTGCAGGTCAGGCAGGCTCCCTCTCTCACTGCTTTTAAGTCTCATTTGAAAACTCACGTTTATTCCCTGACTTTAGACACTGTGTGAGTTGATTTTAACTTGTCTGTGTTCTATAATGTCAGACATTTAGTTCTTATCTTTATCTATTTGGATCTATGCATTTTATCCATGTCACACAAAACGTCCTCACATGTTGAGCTGAAATGGGACATGGTAATAGTTGAGAGTCAGTCACAATACATACTTTAAGGACTGACAGATCATGCAAGAGAGCGCAATATACTGCAAGACTGCACAAAATAGTATTTTCATGGTTCAACCAAAATGACAATAACTGCATCAGTTCTCAACACAAAGATGTTTCTAATTTAAACCATGCATTCCTTCAAGGAATGCTCGGATTTTATTTGAAATAAATTTCCTGTTTGCACGAGAGGTGCTGTTACGTCCACCGATTTCTAGAGGTTCTCTTACTAGAAGACAACCTTTCTCCTCCTTTGCCTGTTTGCAGGTCTGCTGTCTCACCACGCTGCACACCTGGAATCACTTCTTCCTCATCAGTGGACTGCATAAAAGCTTCAGATCCTGCACTACACCCTTTTCTTCTTGGACTTTTCTACTTAATTCTGAGCAGTGTGGTTGACTATGAACTCTGTGCAAAGCATTTTAGCAACTCTGAGTTGATTTCTGTTAACTTAATTTAAGAAACCATTTGTTTAGATGGGACGTTTGGTAGGAGTTCTCTGCCATTTTATTTTTAACTAACTTTTCTCCTGTCTGTTTTGTGGCCAGGGAGCCGAGGGATTGTCGTTCTAGTTTTGTTACACAAGAGGTGATTTTGTTTTCTAGCCAGAAGGGACATTTTTTTGTTTGCTGTTTTGGCCTTGGAGACCCTGACGTTCATGGCTTCCCCTCCTGTCTGTAACACCCAAAACTCTTGCATGATTAAATTATTGTAATGCCAAGTTGGGTTGTTTTTGAGTTATTAGCATTAAGTTTACAGTTTTTGTTACACCTTGCACCTCCTAGACTTATTCCAAGGGTTGTAACAGGTGCTCACACAATATTACTGTATTATGTGAGCACCTTGAAAATGTCTGATTTGCACAAAACTTTTCCATCTCTGTTTGTGGTATATAAAGTAAATTGATCTCAAACGTGCCAATAATGGCATTTTCCAGACGTCATTGTTATTCAGCTTGTAACATTTACCTTTTCTTTGAGTTTTTGGGTGACAGAAGAAAGATTTTGTATTTGGATAGTTTGATCTATTTTTCTAAAACCATCTCTTCAGGCCTAGCACTTTGAGTTCAAGGACATTTGGCTGGGTTTGATACGAGAGGATTTTCTAGTGTACAGTAAATAATTTCTTGTGCACATGAGAAACCTAATTTTAAATATTTTTTCACCAACGTCTCCTCAGGGACTCTGTACAATCTAATTATTTTCAAAGAAGAAGAGAAAAATCTTGAACACTTCCCTTTGCTGTTCCCAAAAAGTGATGGAATATTGTGTAAAATCCCCCTTTGTAAAACCATAAATGTAAGTATAAGCATTGGTCCAGATAGTGCAAAGCCAAAAATACAAACAAAAATCTGCAAGTTTGAAAAACACACTATTAAACTTTTTTGCACGTATAACGTGGCAACATGGCCATGACTTAAAAATGTGCCAGACAAAAATGAGGAAGTAATTTAATTTACTCCTAAATCAGTTACATTCTTCTTGTCTTTCCAGTTTACCACCAAATAAATGAAGATCTCGATAAAACATTTACACTTAAGGCAATCTGCGCTGAACCTGCCTCTCGCTCATTAGGTGGGCTGCTGAAAGGGCAGAGTTAGTGTCACCGTGGCTTCTCTGGGCTCCACCCGCCTTGGTCGGTTGATCATCTCACACTCGTTCTGTTGCACGTTCTCCTCGTTCATATGAGACACTTCCGTGGAGCCCGCTTCAAATCCAGGCCCGGTGGTGGCCACGTGAACCACGTGAACCTTATTTCTCCCATTTTTAATCAGAATGCAGCTGAAGACTTTCTTGAAGCCTTTGCGGAAGTGTTTGGACACCAGAGCGTACACGATGGGATTGACGCAAGAATTGGCATAGGCCATGCAGTGTGAGAGGAGCCTGAAGGCATACGTAGTCTGGTTGAAGGGGAAATCTCCATATAGGTAGCACAGTATCACCACATGGTACGGCAGCCAACAGATGCAGAAGAGTACAGTGACAATAATGATCATTTTGGTGACTTTGCGTTTGGCTCTTTTGGATTCTGACATGCCGTCTAGAGGGTCAACAGCTGTCCACAGGTACTTTATGGTTCTTGTGTATGAGAGGCTCACAATCAGCACAGGGATGACGTAGCCAAACAGGAAGGTGCATGTGTCCAACACCTTACGGTTCTGCTCCTCCCAGCCGGGGATGCACACAGTACTGTTGGCAAAATCAATCAGATCATAGTAGCTGAGGTATGGACCCGCAAAGACCAGGGACAGACCCCAGATAACCACCATGGCGACCACAGCATTGCATGGAGTTCTTAGCTCTCTGGAGCGCAGCGGGTAGCGAATGGCCAGGTATCTATAAAAACACAAGATTAAAATGTGTACTGAGCAGGAATTGGATTTATCATTCAGTATAAAATATACACATTTTACAAATTTTGTACACAAGTTAAACTGGGTTTCTTTTTCAGAAACAGATCCTGTCTAACTCTGAACCCTGAGGAACACCTTGTAACTGTGACTTTCCTTCCCTCCATTGATTACGGTGACATTATTTACATGAACGCTCCTACAAGAACCCTGCAGATGTTGGATGCTGCAGATGTTGGATGCTGCAGATGTTGGATGCTGTCTTTCATTGTGCGCTAAGATTCATAACTGGTTGTAACTACTGTTACGATATTTCTTATTTAGACTGGTCCTATGATTTTGATCTGCTCAGAGATGGGATTATAGTGAAATTATGACCCGGTTCTGACTGGGTTAAACTGGGCCAGCATCTCTCAAGAGGGTCTCCCTGGGATTTCAATATCAGTCAAATAGTTTAATCTGCTTGCCACATCACGTAGAAAGGCTTTGAAGCACCGTTTCATATTTTTCCCAACACGTCAGTCCACATAAGACCACACTTAGCCACGCCCCCTCATACAATGATAGGCTGAGCTCCCTTTCTGCGAAGGTGGAGTCTAGGACCCTATAAAGGAGTAATGAGACGAGACATCGGGGCTCTTCCGGGTCTGTGAACGCATCACAGTCCGGAGGATCCAGCGTTGTAAAACTGTAATCTTTTTCCTGCCTTTTTAAAAAAAATATATAATTGATAAAATTTAATTGAAGTTTCCTTTATTTATTGATAGTATGAGTTGCCACTTCTGAGAGAGATAGAACCAGAGGAAGTGGTGGGGGCTGGCTGAGGGTCCAGGGTCAGAGAGGAAGCCTGAGGCCCACAGCTAGCCGTAGCTAGCTGCAGTGACTGACGACCTGCAGTCAGCTCCCATAACACAACACTACCGTACCCACCACTGCACCCAGTATTCACTGGTTAACTGGTCACCATTAACTTCACACTGACTCTCCCACTGGTACATTTTCATCTTTAAATCACTTCTTGGTCTGCTGCCTTCATACATCTCCTCCTACATGTCTCTGTGTGAGTGCAGCTACAGCGTGCGCTCTCAGGACATCATTACCTGCAGTGTTCCCTCAGTGAGGACTGAACTAGACAAAAGGACCTTCTCCTACTCCGCTCCTGTTTCCTGGAATATCTTGTAAAAAGGTCTGAAGCTCTTGACCTTGACCTCTCTAAGTGGCTTCAAACATCAGATAAGTTCCTGCAGACATGTTCCTGTTTTTAGTTTTCTACACTGCCTTATGATCTAGCTGTTTTTTGTTACAATTTCATTTAAATATCATTTTATTTTCACTTGTTGTTCTCAAGTTGTGTGCATCTTTTATGATTGTCCATTGTTGTCATTAGGGATGAGGCCGATCCAATTCAGTATCCGTATCGGCCTTCGATACCAGCATAATTTACGTATCGGATTTTCCGATCCACCTGCCGATATTTCTGATCCATGATGCATGTTGGCTTCAAACTATAGAATGGATTTCCTGAACGGCGGCGTGTCTCATGAGCCCAGAGTAATAAGACCCGCCTCACATTCAGGAAGTCCAGTTCATAGTTTGCAGCCAGCTACAACCTGAGGGCTGAGTTAGCAGCACTGTGGCTAACAGCTAACCAACTTTTTATTGAAACATGTCCGCTGTGTGGAAGTATTTTACACTAGAAACATCACAAAACAAGACAGCATCGTGCAATGTCTGCAGAGCCATAGCGCCACATTAAACTGCGGTAAAGTTAGTTTTACGATGGACATTCGAGCTCCGTGGCTTCAGCGGGGCACTACTCTTTGGTCAAACCAAAAGAGGCGACTCGACACCGGCCAGCCGCGTCCAATCTGCCCCACTCAGTCTGCCCATCTCTGAGGAGGGACAGACTGAGTGTGGCTGCCCCAAATCAGGCTGCCTGCTTCGAATTGAACAAGAAGTAGACGTCGCTGAAACCACGGAGCTCAAATGTTTACAGAGAAGTTGCTAAACTTCATCATAATTAATGACCAACCACTATCTGTTGTAGAAAACGAAGGATTTCTCAGCTTGCTACTTGCAGTCAAAATATAGTTTACCCTCCAGGAGATATTCATCAGTACAGCAGTAGACATTCATAAAATACATGATTTGAAAATTATATTCATCCATCCATCCATCCATTTTCTTCCGCTTATCCGGGGTCAGGTAGCGGGGGTAGCAGCCTAAGTAGGGAGGCCCAGACTTCCCTCTCCCCAGCCACTTGGGTCAGCTCTTCTGGGGGAATCCCGAGGCGTTCCCAGGCCAGCTGAGAAATATAGTCCCTCCAGCGTGTCCTGGGTCTTCCTCTGGGCCTCCTTCCGGTGGGACGTGTCCGGAACACCTCACCAGGGAGGCGTCCAGAAGGCATCCTAAACAGATGCCCGAGCCACCTCAACTGGCTCCTCTCAACGTGGAGAAGCAGCGGCTCTACTCTGAGTCCCTCCCGGATGATCGAGCTTCTCACCCTGTTTCTAAGGGAGAGCCCAGACACCCTGCGGAGAAAACTCATTTCGGCCGCTTGTATCCGAGATCTCATTCTTTCGGTCACAACCCAAAGCTCATGACCATAGATGAGGGTAGGAACGTAGATCTATCGGTAAATTGAGAGCTTCACCTTTTGACTCAGCTCTCTCTTCACCACGACAGACCTGTACAGCGCTCGCTTCACTGCAGACGCTGCACCTATCCGCCTATCGATCTCACGCTCCATTTTTCCCTCATTCGTGAACAAGACCCCAAGATACTTGAACTCCTCCACTCGGGGTAGGACTTCCTCCCTGACCCGGAGAGGGCACTCTACCCTTTTCCGGCTCGAGACCATGGCCTCGGATTTGGAGGAACTGATCTTCATCCCGGCCGTGTCGCATTCGGCTGCGAACCCCTCTAGCGAAAGCTGTAGATCATGATTTGATGAAGCCAATAAGACCACATCATCTGCAAAAAGCAGAGAAGCAATCCTAAGGCCACCAAAATGGATCCCCTCAACACTTTGTCACTGATTCTGTTCATAACTTTTATGGACAGAATTTCTAGGCGCAGCCAAAGGCCAACCTTGGTGGAGTCCAACTCTCACCGGGAACAAGCCCCACTTACTGCCGGCGATGCAGACCAGGCTCTGACACCAGTCATACAGGGACCTAACAGCCCGTATCAAAGGGCCCGGTACCCCATACTCCCAGAGTACCCCCCACAAAGTCCCCCGAGGGACGTGGTCGAACACATTCTCTAAGTCCACAAGGCACATGTAGACTGGTTGGGCAAACTCCCACGCACCCCCCAGGACCCTGCTGAGAGTGTAGAGCTGGTCCAGTGTTCCACGGCCAGGACGAAAACCGCACTGCTCCTCCTGAATCCGAGGTTCGACTATCCGACGGACCCTCCTCTCCAGAACCCCCAAATAGACCTTACCAGGGAGGCTTAACAAAAACAGCTACATTATAAAGTGATGTAAAATACTAAAAACAGGAACATGTCTGTTGGTTTATGCCATGAATTTAGCAGATGTTTGAAGCCATTTAACATTTAATTTTATTTTATTCATTTATTCATTCATTTAAATGAAACAAAATAAAAAAATCATCAAAAAGAAAACATTGAATGAAAAGATTGCAGAAAGAAGAAAAAATTATCATATCTGCCCCTTATAAAATATAAAACTACTTTAAACAATCACTTAAATTAATCACTTTAATATCCATTTTAAAACTAGGAACAAAAAGAAACATGTTTTGTGTTAGCAGAATTTAATTCTAACTTTAAAACTTATCCAACATTAATAAAACTTACCTCAAGTTGCCTTTTTGGACATGCATGCATATATTTGTACAAATTGTACTTGAGAGGAGATTATTAGAGCCTCATATAAACTCAATGATGATCATGATATCGGAACTGGATCATATCGGCCGATACTCAGATCTAGGTATCGGGATCGGATTGGAAGTAAAAAAAGTGGATCGGTGCATCCCTAGTTGTCATCACTCTTTGTTTAAATCAGGTCTCTCTTGTAAATGAGTCCTCGAGGCTCAATGGGACTAACCTGTCTAAATAAAGGTTGAGTGTAAAAAAAGGAGAGAATCCTTTTTTAATGCCTAATAATAATAAAGTTTTACTATGGATAATTAGGAGGAAATTAGTTGTTTTATTTCCTCTTCATGTTAACAGCTCTGCTGGTAAATAAATCCCTTGCAGGCATTTTTAGTTTAATTTTAAGGAGGGGAATAAAAGAAGGTGAAAATGCACATTGAACTTTTTCTTCTTTTTGTTTAAGTTAAGATTTAACAGCATGCCATTTGAAATCTTGAAGCCTAACAACCTAATTTTAATCTCTAAATATACTCAGAATAACTCCTTGTGAACTAAGTGCTCCTGGACAGAGATCTGCAGCGTTTCAGCCTCTTTTCAGGTGAAGCAGCACATTCATGCTTTTTACATTTACAGAATACTTCAACCAGCTCTGCAGAAACAGAGAAGAAAGCCTCTGTTGTTTGAAATTTCCCTGAAATGGGGACAAAGTCACTTATGCTTGACATGAAAAGCACAAAGTCGACACTTTGAACGTACTTGTGTGCAGCCTCGGCAGTTCGGATGAGCAGCTTCACTATTTCTGGATGGATTTTGTTAGCAAATAACGAGTGAATGGCCTGAATTATCGCTGACATTATGGTTTGATGTTTTGATGGTTAAAAGCCGACTGACCGATTCACTCACCCAACCTGCTATATGTAACATATTTCTTCATGGAAACAAAAAGCAGGTCAAACGGTATTGTAAAGAGATTGAGTGGGAAATATTCATCCATCCATCCATTATCTTTACCCGCTTATTCCATTTTGGGTCAAGGGGGTCACCGGTGCCCATGTCCAGCAATCACTGTGCGAGGGGCGGGGGACACCCTGGACGGGTCTCCAGTCCATCACAGGGACACATAGAGACAAACGAGACAAA